GAACCGGTAAAAAAACGACGTCGGAACCGGCAAAAAACAGCAAAACGGAACCGATAGCAAAACGGCTCTGTCGTTTCCAGGGCCCACGAAGCCGCTTGCCCGCCCCGCCCTCGCCCTCCTCGCCCTCCTCGCGCCTCGCTCCTCGCTCCTCGTTCCTCGCAACTCCTCCTCCTCCTCCTCCTCCTCCTCCTCCTCCCCTCCTCCCTCCTCCTCCTCCTCCTCCTCCTCCTCCTCCTCCTCCTCCTCCTCCCTCCCCCTCCCTCCTCCTCCTGATCCTGCTCCTGCCCCTCCTCCTCCTCCTCCTCCTCTCCTCCTCCTCCTCCTCCTTCTCCTGCTTCCTCCTCCTCTCCTCCTCCTCCTCCCCCTCCTCCTCCTCCTCCTCCTCCTCCTCCTCCTCCTCCTCCTCCTCCTCAGCCCGACGCCCCGCCCCGCTCCCGAAGGCCTTTGCGCCCTGACGGGCGCCTGCGCTCGCCTGCGCGCCCTCGGCGGCCCCGACGGCGCCGACGGCGCGGCCCTGGCCGCGGCGCTCGGGCGCGTGCAGCGGAGCGGCTTCCGCCTGGCACCGCTGCGGGGGGGCAGCCACGAGCAGTCGAGGTCATCACTGTCGCCACATGATTCGTATTAAGTCGGGCCTGTCCCTCCACAGGAGGAATATCCAAAAATAGTCAAACAATAGTCGGGGGACTATGTTCGGAGTATTTTTTGACCATTTTGGAATATGTTTTGAACATTTCTATTTTTCGTCAAAAAAACCCTGTATGGGGGACACGCCCGACTTAAGATTAGTACAGCCGAGACCGATGGTAAGGATAGGTGACTTTCCCAAGGGCGCCCTGGCATCCTCGCCGCCTCGTTCCATCCTCGGCCACTCTTGATAGCCAGCCGCGCTCGGAAAGCTTTGACATGGGCGTCCAAGACCCCTGCGTCCTTACCATACCACGCATCCTTACCATCAGTTTTGACCTTGCAGTGGAAGCCCATGACAAGAAACACCCCGCTTGCCTCCAGGGCGCCCTTGGTTCCTTGGGGTGCGATGGTTTTGCGATGGGAAGCATGACTTCCCCTTACCAGAAAGCAGTGGACGCCCTGGGGTCTCAGGGTTGGGCTTCGTGTGGAAGGTGTCTTGTGGTCGAGCGCCTTCTGCACTCGGAGACAACCCAGAGGTACTCGGGCACTTTCCTCGGCCCTCGGCGGCACGGGGAACGTAGGCGACCCGAGGAGGAGGAGGAGGAGGAGGAGGAGGAGGAGGAGGAGGAGGAGGAGGAGGAGGAGGAGGACGAGGGAAGGAAGAGGAGGAGGAGGAGGAGGAGGAGGAGGAGGACGGGTGTTCCCGCCTCGGGCTGCCTTCCGGCAGCTGCGCCTCTCGCCGCCGACAGCGCTCCGAGGGCACCCGGCTCCTCCGGCGCGGCCGCCGGAGAGCCGAGCTCTGGCCCGAAGGCCGCGCTTGGCATCGCTCGGACGTGTGCATTTTTCCTTCGGCGAGGACCATCGAGGAGCATCCTCGACCTTTTTGTAGTTTGTTGTTTATATATATTTATATATATAATTTTACCCCCAAAAAATACACACAGTAAAAAAAAAGAAGAAGCAAAAAAAAAAAAAACGCACGAAACCGAACAAAAGTACAGGGAAGGGACGTCCGAGCGATGGTCAGTGGGATCCTGGCGTCGCAGGTGTGGTGCAGCGGGCGAGCTGGCCTCGGCCCGGGCCCCCGGGGCCCTCGCAGATCGATGCGGCAGGGAGGTGGGGCCCAGGGCTCCGGTCGATGTCTTGTCTTCGCCGTCGTTATCGTCGCCTTCCTAGTCGTCCTCCGCCTTATCGTCGTTGTCGTCGTCGTCTTCATCGTCGTCGTCATCGTCGTCGTCGCCGTCCTCCTCATCCTCCTCCTGGTCGTCCTCTTGGTCCTGCGACGCTGCAGTCTTTGTCGCGGCGCCGGGTCTCACGGGAGGAGGTGCAGGAGCGATCGGATCGGCCAGGGCACGGCGCGGGCTGAGTTTTGGGAGTTTTCGGGCGGCCCTCGGTCACTGTCGAGGGATGTGCGGAGGCCTCAGGGCCGCGTGCCCCATCCCATCGGCAGAGTGTGAGGCGGAGGAGGAAACGAGAGGGAGGCTCCCCGGCTGGATTCCGCATCCTCCGTGCACCGGGGAGGAGGCGGGAGGAGGTCGGGGCGGATGCCTGCGAGGACCCAGGCATCCGACGTCGTGAAAGAATCGTGACGCCATAGCATTGAGTCGGGCCTGTCCCTCTACAGAAGGAATATCAAAATATAGCCAAAAACAGCGATTTTTAACTGTGTTTAACTGTTTTTGTATTTTTTTGTATTTTTTATGTTTCGCCCGAAATCCCCCTGTATGGGGACACGCCCGACCTAACCATAGCAAAGCACGACCAGATTGTCCGACCCAGTCCTCATAAAAGGGGTTCTCCTTCGAGCCAGAGCGGCCCCGAGAGGGTGCGCGGGGCCCGGGACGCGGAGCAGGACAGGGGCCAGGAAGCGGAGGGCGGGGATCAGAAGAACATTGGGGATTTGGAGTGGGGGAGGCGGGTCCTGGCCTATGATGCTCCCACCTGCGCTAGCCTTGATCACCAGAGCGACGTTCGAGCACCGCGGAAGCACCGAAGCCTGAGGGCTCTCACGGGTTGGGCCCTGGGAGGCGGTGCTAGTTCGACGTTGTTTCGACACTTTTCTGGGCGCTCGACATCATTTTTGGGATATGGTCCTTAACTTAGCGGGCCCTGGAAACGACAGGGCCGGTTTTTTGACCGGTTCCGTTCTGCCGTTTTTTCGCCGGTTCCGACGCCATTTTTTTACCGGTTCCGTCGCCGTTGTTTGGCCGGTTCTGGCTCCGGTTCCAATCCTGGAGCAGTCTTTTTGCCGTTTCCGGTCGCCGTTTTTTCGCCGTTGCCATTTTCAAGGGACACTTTTTGGGGAAACGGTGAAGAAACGGCCCTGCCGTTTCCGGGGCCCACAGAGGTCCTTAAGTACGATGCGAGCCACAGAAGTCTCGGCGCGAGCCTTCCTCGCTGGACTGCCGCGGCAGCGCTGCCTCCGCAGGCGCCCGCCCACCTCGGCCACCTGCTGCACTCCTTCGGGCGGTGGCACCAGGCGTGCAGGCCACCGGGGCCGCCCCCGCGCGGAGAGGCCGCCTCTTTGCGGCCTCCGCCCCCTCCTCCCACTCCTCCTCCTCCTCCTCCTCCTCCTCCTCCTCCTCCTCCTCCTCCTCCCTCCTCCCTCCTCCCTCCTCCCTCCTCCCTCCTCCCTCCTCCCCTCCTCCCTCCTCCTCCTCCTCCTCCTCCTCCTCCTCCTCCTCCTCCTCCTCCTCCTCCTCCTCCTCCTCCTCCTCCGCCCCCTCCTCCTCCATGCCTCGGGGGCGGAAAAGAGGGGGGTGATGGCTAGGGGGGGGATATTATGGCGGGGGCCATGGTATTTCCCCAGATTTCATGGCGCCTCTTCTTCTTTCACTACGTCCCTGGTCCCCCCGCTGGGCCGCGCACATGCCGCCGCTCCCGAATCTCGCTTCTCGCTCTTCCCTCCCTCGTTGTCTTTCTCTTGATATGTATCTTGCGGGCGGGGGAGCATCATTTGTCCTGACTTCGCCCTAGCAGCGGCGGGTTCGTTCCTCTCGCGTGCCCACGCAGCTTCGCCTCGCCCGCACGCACGACACGAACGAAACGAAACGATTTCACTGTTGGGGGTCTCTTCTTCCACTGCGATCTACCTCCCACCCTCCGATATATATATATATATATGTATACATATATATACATATATATATATATATATATATTCCACGGCACGTTGCGTCTTAGATTTAGGTCGGGCCTGTCCTCCTACAGGCAAGGTTGGGGGCGAAACACAAAATCATACGAACATCCAAACATAGTCAAAAAACAAACAAACACTCGTCCCCGTATCATGTGTTGACTATTTGTTGATAGCCCTCCTGTAGAGGAACACGGCCGACTTAATCTTAGATTGAGATAGTGGTTTCCTGGCATTGTGGCCCCGATTGTTTTGCGGCCCGCTTCAAGCAAATGTAAACCTTCCATCAGGCGGTGTGCTCCCAGAATGCTTTGTGGAGCCTGGGCAGCAAACTGTCGCATGCACGTGACCCCTGGCTCCACAGCGTGTGTCATGGGCTGTCTCGATTGTGATGACAGCATCCGGCATCATCTCGTGTGTCCGTGTTCTCTCGACATTTTTATCGATCCTCGGCGGCCGCTTCACGGTGATGTTTTAGTACGGTTGGGGTTGGGGGGACGGCGCAGCGAGGTCAGCATCCGTTCGCTCTCTCTATCTCTCGTTCTTTCTTTATTGTTTCTCTTTCTCTCTCTTTCTCTGTCTCTCTCTCTCTCGCACTCTCTCTCCCTCTCTTTTACTCTCTCTCTCTCTCTCCATGTGTTTGTCTCTGTCTGTCTCCCTCTCTACAGTCAACCCGCATAGTAAGGATAAGCTTTCCAAGGCTACCTGTGCATCCTTCCCCTCCAGCCACACCTTGGCCGCTTTCGTTGGCCGAGCCCCGCTCGCAAAGCGTCGACACGGCCTCCCAAAGCCCTTGCATCCGTATCGTGCGTCCTCATCGTACGGTTTGATTGTACATGAGTACATTGCCGTCTACATTTCTCATACAATGAACGGGAAAGTCGGCTCCCCCCCTCACGTTTACGTCAATGCTCTTGCTGCCGCTCACTTCCGTGCTCTCGCCATCAAGTGGTTGCGTGAAGCATCAGCGACCAGGACTCTTCAGGGGACGTCCCCTCCTCGTCCTCCTCCTCCTTCTCGTCCCACTCCTCCTCCTCCTCCTCCCCCTCCTCCTCGTATGTTTGCTCCTCTTTTTTGTCCTTTTTTCACCATCCCCTTTCCTTCCCCCTCATCCCCCACCCCTTCCCCACCCACGCATAATTATCCTTCTCATCCTCGCCCCCCCCCCTCCTCACAGTCACCCCCCCAGGCAGGCCATGGATGCCGCCACGGAGTCGTTAGTGTCGGACCTCTTCAGGTCCGCACCAGCAGGGGGGGGGGGGGGCGGAGCGAGAAGCAGAGGCAGCTTCAGAGCCACACTGTCTTCACGTCGCCGCATCGCCCGACCTCCAGAGGCTGCACCTTGGGGGGGGGATCTCGAGCTGCGGAGGGCGCAGAGCGCCCCTCCTCGTGACGGGTGTTCACGTTCACCAGGCCGTTGCGCCGCGAGGGCTTCCCACGGCACGTCGAGGTGCGATAGGTCTTCTGGCGAGGGGATGGGCGACGGTCAGGGATACAGTCGGTGCGCTGAAGAAGGAACCCTTTTCGTTGTGGAGGGGCTCCGTGTTCCTTAATTGTTTCACAGCTTGCCTCAGGGTTTCCTGATGTTTTCGATGGGAAAAAAAGGGGCCTCCTTAGGTCAACGCCCCGACTGCACAGTTGCGTGAGGGAGCTACGCAGAGTCGCGCCACGCATGATGACTGCGAGTGCAGGCTTCCGTTCTTCAGGTCAGGAGTCCAATCTTCACGTTGCAAAAGACCTCGGAGCCTGTCCGATCACCCTGCTGCGATCCACACAGATTTGCGCGATCGCGGCAGGGTTTCAGCTAAGTGATCATTGAAGCTCATGTGGAGCACCGCGTGTTTGGAACTGCGCAGGAGTAGAAGAAGCTGGAGTAGGAGCTGGGGTCAAGCTATCCAGGCCCAACGAGGCAGCAGGCCCCGCCCGTCCCCAACCCCCCCTTCCCACAGCACAGGAATCCATGTGACACAACCTGACATGAAGGCTGGAGCTAGTTCTCGCCTGGCGAACGGGCGGGATAGACACACTTCCGATGAAGTCGGCGAAGACGAAGAACGCGCCGCGCCGAGTAGCCCTGCCACTGTCACATTCGAATGCGATCCGGCGCGCGCAACATGCGCCACGCCCGCGCAAGAGCGCCTCTTTTAAGCGACAAACGCACGGGGTTCGGGCGAGGGCGACAAGTCGTCCGCTTGCACAGGGCTCCAGAACTTTGGCGAGGATATGCGCCGCGCTGAGTCTGCAACGCCACGGTCAAAGGACATCTGCCCAGCGCCGAGGCAAGGGCGACATTTTCGTCCGCTCGTGCCTAGGCGAACTGGCATGCGGATAATGCGCGCCGCGCCAAAGAAGGAACTCAACCCTCCCCCAAAAAATAGCGCGGCGCTGGGGCGAGAACGACAGCTCGCCCCTCCGCGACGGACGTGCGCTCCGTCCCATCCCCGCCACACATGTTTCGACGTGGGCGACGGGACATCCATACTGAGAGCCAAGGACGTCGGCCTCACAGATGCTCCAACCCACCAGCGTTGGACTGTCGTTCTGAACAGAGCACTGGGGTCGCGTCTCCTTCCTTCCCTTCCCGCCTCGTCTCCTCCTTCCGCTCTTCTGCCCTGCCTCTTGCCTGCCTCCCGCCTGCCGGCCAGCCTGCCTCCTGCGTCGCCATCCTTGGAGGGCTGCGATGTGCAGCACTTGGCTCCTGACACGAACAGCTGACCGAGCATGCCACAGGCAAAGACAGTCGACCTCTGACCATTTGTTCACGCTTCGTATCCTCTGAGATCGCGCGCACGAATGGAACCAGAACTTCTGGGTTGCTGCACCCGAGTTCAGATAGGTTTTCCACACGGCCGAATACAAGAACAGATGGGCAGCATTCAAGGCGCAAGGCGTCCAACCAGGATGCATCTCAACAGCTATAAGAGGGAAAGGTAGCCACAGTCAGGACTGACGTAACCTGCCGGCCTTCAGCCTTGCACGGGTCACCAAACAAGGCGACCCGTTCAGTTGTCTCCTCTTCAACGCTTTTCTACAGCACACGATTGGTCCACTGATCGCCAGTTGCCAAGCCAAGAACAGGGGAGTACAACTTGGGTTCATCACCAATTGGGTTCATCGCCGCCAGTGCGTTCACCAACCTTCTCTTCGCCGACGACGCGCCCCTGGCCAGCCACATCCCCCCGCGCCTCACCACGATGCTCGACGACATCGCGCGTGCAGCACAACCACACGGACTAGAGCTACACCCTTCCAGAACCACGGTGCAGAGCAATCGGACGAGACGGACCAGCAGAGCGAGCTCACGCACGGCGCGCGCCCAGGGAACGGACACCGACATCCTCCCACACGAGGGCACTGTCACAAACTGCGATCAATTCATCGGCTTCCACGACGCGATGGAGACGGAACGCCACCACCGCACAAGAGCTGCACGGGCGCCGCTCCCTCCAAGCAAGCAGGAGCTAACCAGCAGCCGCTACCAACTGGCGCACCGACTCCACGGCACAGTACAGTGGGGGCGCGTGCCAAGAAACCAGCTGCATTTTGCCAGGATGCCCTGGGTTTCTTGGATTTTGATGGGCTCCCAATCAGATCTTGACGATCTTCGATCGACACATGTGGATTTTCATTGAACAAATCGCGTATTTCAGGGTTGGGCTTCTTGCGGAGGTTTCTTGTGGCCGAGCCCCCCACTGTAGCCCCGACAGCGATTTACTGAACAGGGATGTCGACGGTGACGGAATTTCTCCGGCAACACCAGCGGCGGACACGGGCACGCATGCTCCGAATAAGCATCAGGACGCCACGACGACGCAACCACCAGCCGCCGAACGGACTTTCGCACTACAGCCTCGAGATCAAGGATGCCGACGGCACGAACGAGGAATCACTGGGCAACGCCCTGCGCCGACAGCACCAGCACAGACGTCGACAGCAGCCCGCCACCACGCGACACAACTGCAACATGCACTCGAGACAAGCACAGCGACTACGACAATGTCACCGTCAATGAGGATCGGAGGTGAAGGGGTGAGATCGAAGTGGAACGGAGAGCCCCCCTACCGGGAAATCGGTTTCGGTTTCGTGTTCGTGCGTGCCGTGCGTGCGGGCGAGGCGAAGCTGCGTGGGCGGACGAGAAATGTCCCGCCTCTGGCTGAGGCGCGGCCGGACCAAAAGTCCCCCTTCCGGCAACCGGTGCCGCGCGGTGTCCCGCCGGTGTCCCGCTGGTGTCCCGTCGGTGTCCCGATGATGATGATGATGATGATGATGATGATGATGATGATGATGATGGTGATGATGGTGATGATGGTGATGATGGTGATGGTGACGGTGTTGATGATGATGATGGTGATGGCCATGGTGGTGATGATGGTGTCCCGATGATGATAATGATGTTGATGATGCTGATGCTGTTGAGGAGGATGATGGTGTCCCGATGATGTGGATGATCATGATGCTGTTGATGTTGGTGATGAGATGATGATATGATGATGAAGATGATGATAATGATGATGGTTTCCCGATGATGATGATGATGATGAGGTTGATGATGGGGCTGGTGAAGATGATGGTGCTGATGATGATGATGGTGTCCCGATGATGATGATGATGTTGATGGTGGTGATGACGATGATGGTGTCCCGATGATGATGTTGATGATGAGGATAATGATGAAATGATAATGATCATTTTGGTGGTGGTGGCCCGATGATGATGATGATGCGGATGTTGATGGTGATCATGGTGTCCCGATGATGGTGATGGTGATGAGGATGGTGATGATGATGGTGACGACAATGACGGTGTCCCGATGATGATGATGATGATGATGATGATGATGATGATGATGTTTTTGCTGATGATGATGATGATGTCTCGATGCTGGTGATGTTGATGATGTTTCTTTCATGCTGATGATGATGATATGATGATAGTGATAGTGGTGTTCCGATGATGATGACGATGTCGTGATGATGATGTTGATGTTGATGATGGTGACGGTGATGGTGTCCCGATGATGGTGATGATGGTGATGTTGGTGATGATGGCCATGTGGGTGATGATGATGGTGTCCCGATGATGATGATCATGATGATGATGCTGATGTGGATGCTGCTGATGATGATGGTGCCCCCGTGATGATGATGATGATGGTGTTGATGATATTACAGGGGTTGATGATGATGATGAGATGATGATGAGAATGATGCTGATGATGGTGTCCCGATGCTGGTGATGAGGTTGATGATGATGCTGTTGTGGGAAATGATGTTGGTGATGATGATAATGATGATGGTGTCCCGATGATGACGATTATGATGGTGATGATGACGATGATGCTGTCCGATGGTGATGATGATTATGTTGATGATGAGGATGATGGCGAGGTGATGCTGAATTTGATGAGGGAAGCCCGATGATGATGCTGCTGTTGGTGATGATGATGGTGTCCCGATGGTGAGGATGATGGTGATGCTGATGGTAATGATGATGATGGTGTCGTGATGATGATGATGATGATGATGTTTCTGATGATGTTGGTGTCCCGATGATGGTGATGATGCTGTGGACGATGTTGTTCATGATGAGGATGATGATGATGAAATGATGATGATGGTGGTGGTGTGGTGTCCCGACGATGATGCGGTTGATGATGATGATGATGGTGACGATGATGGTGTCCCGATTGAGATGTTGATGATGATGGTGATGATGTGAAGATGATGATGGTGTCCCGATGATGATGATGATGATGATGACGTTGATGAAGATGATGTCGGTGATGATGATGACGTTGATTGCGAGATCGATTGTGGTATCGATAGTGATTTCGATGGTGAAACCGAATGTGAGATAGTGTGTGATATCGACAGTGAGACCGATAGTGAGATCGATTGTGATATCAATAGTCATATCGATTGTGAGATCGATCGATTGAAATAGATCGAGTGATGTCGATTGTGAGATCGATCGGGTGAGATCGATCGAGCGAGACCGTAGTGAGATCGATAGTAATATCGGTAGTGAGACCGATCGAGTGAGACGTTGGTTCTTCCCCCCCCCCCCCCCGAACCTCCTTATCACCCGAAGAGGTGGTCGTATAGGTATGGTCATGTATATGAAGCCCTGGGCTGGCGACATTCAACGTGGTATTCGGCGCGCGGATCATTTCATGAAGCACCACGGGTTCAACAGTTGGACGACAATCCAAAGGCGGAAGTCGTGGCGCATGGCTAT